ATCGGGAGTTCAGATCATGAATCGATCAACGATCATCCACGTCAGGGCCAATCACTTTACCGACCTATCCCTCTGGCTGGTGATAATTCATCATCGCTCATAGGTAGCAATACACGTGACCTCCTACGACCTTCCGGTACGTCACTGGAAACAAAGGAAGGGGGGAGCAAGGCTGTCAGAGCCGTACGCTGCCTGTGAGTGATCTCTCCACAGGTGCTACAAAATGATGTTGGCTTTCTCCCCAAATTTTTTCGACCGAAATTTCGCAAGCATTTCTAATTTTCCCCACGCCACGCCATTTAAAGTATCTCTGATTCATTCATATCCACCCCGAGTAACTCTCGCTGCGTATCGTACTCTACCGATACGCACGATTAGGACCACTTCAGAAACGCGAGGATGTCAAAGCGAGGCAATTTCCGTACTGCCAAGTCCACCAACTCCCCGCTGGTCGGACAGAGCTCTCTCAGAGTTCGTCACAAAGCAATTCGAGCGAAGCACAACACTTTCCTTTGGTGCAGTTTGTTGTGACGTCAGAGAACCTCTGTCTGTCAGTGCGTCTATGAAATTGAACAACCTTATGAATGCCGAAGGGGTTGTCATGCAACACGAACTGTGGGCCCGTCAAATTCCAGTTTTGGTAAAGTCGGCCAAAGTCTTCCTGAAGACACACGCGCGTTCCTGCAGGCGGAAATGACCTTGGGGTAATTCCCCGCCCATGCAACCGCGTGGAAGAATCCGTGATGACGTAATCACGCGCTCGCACATTCCACCCACAGAAAGGTCAATGAATCTGGACAACACTGACGTCAGTGGTGCCACTAGCGGAGATAAAAATACAGCGGCCATTAGCGAAATGAAAAATACAGAACGAACTGTTGCGTTTCGCCGACACTCTCCGACTTGTTTACTTTATACAGGAATTTCCTCATAACGGAGGGGCGGGATGACACGTCTTCCTGCTTGGCCCGTCCTTATTTTGGTTTATTTATTTTATTGACTTTCATTCTGGTACTGCAAAGAATTGCCACGTCGTTCCAAACGAACGGTTCTCACAAGGCGATGGTCCGGCTGTCCATGCCGAAACCTCACCTGAAATTTTGTTCGTCTACAGAGCCCATCTAGTAATGATTGTACACAAAATTTCAGCTGCTGATGCGCTGTTCAAGGGTGCGAAAAAATTGCTCAAAATTCGAATGCAAATTTAAAATTCGCGCCACCGCGCACGCGCGTGACAGCAGCGAAAAGCGTGAGAAATGTGAAAGCATTTCACCGGACCCAGTGCACACTTGCAGACGTCAGTGCAAAACTGATTTTAATACCTTCCTGCAACCCATATTTAGCGGGCATCTTCAATGGTTTCATGAAGTACGGAACGCAAATTACGAACCTTTTCACAAAGACGTTTTCCTTACTATTCATTTTCCTTCTCTGGACTTTGCTATTCCCTCCAAGTTTCACAAAGATATAAAATGACGCCGCGGTGTTCTGAACAAGAATTTAAGATGTTAGTGACGCATGAATAATATTGATCTTTGTGCGACATGTTAAATGAACAAAAAAGCTTATGAGATCATCCGTAGAGGGAACATCGCTGCCGACCGAATTCAGAGAAGTCTTCGCGGGCAATCAGCGGCGTCAGGTGGTCGTACAAAAGCAATGTTTCGACAGCCTTCTCGGTCCTCATCGTCAGGAAATCTGGCCGGCGAAGACTTCATTTGAAGGACACGGGGCCACATCCAACCTTTCTTGTCAACCGGACAGTTATGGATGGGGACGATTTACTGAAGGACCTTTACAATTCATATTAAAAATTAAGCAGGATTTGCATTGAAATGAGAACTTTCTCATGTATGCTAGTTCGTCCGAGGCAGGTTTGGTTAGGCTGCGTGCGGTATAACAGTTTCGAACAGAACAAACCAATTTGGACGGATTTTTGGGTATTTTCGGTACACAAAACAAGCAAAAGCGTCTACTTTCCACCTCGATATGAGCTTCAGTCGAAACCTGCGAACAACGCTACATCGAGTAATTTAATAACTGCACTGGTAAGACACGAAAGAACAGCGATCGCCAGATCCACCGGCTCGAAAACACTGGTTTCTGCTTGCCTTTTGTTCGACAGCGCCAGACCTCGAGGTCCACGTACGTCATAATCACGCCCCGGATGGACAGACATTTTGCCTTCTTCTACCCTGGTGCTCTGAAAAGGGCTCTCTTCTCCTGACCCGCTCACTACTCCATCTCCTTTCTTCATTCCATGGCTCTGATCGGCCGATCCCCGTGACCAAAGCCTTCCTCCTCACTTCAATTCCGCGTCAGTCCAATTTCACAGTGGAGATGTCGGATCCTCACTCTCAAAACACGCGATCGGGGCAGATCCAGTTTAGAATCCGGCGGCGACATACAGCGCCCTGCGGGAAGAAGGGGAACCTCTGCTTGCAGGGCCAAAGTGGCCAAGGAATAATTTAAAATAACGACCCTTCTAGAAATCTTCCGAAATTTAACACCGACGAAAACTCAAAGGAACGCCGTGCCGTTTGTTTTCGAAAACACGAACCAAGTCGGATGCTTTGTAAGGTCGTGAAACGCGTTCTCTTGCTTCGAGAGTCTGAAAACATTCGGACGTAAGAGGAATTTCGTGATGTCAGCAAATGCTGTGAAGGTTGGGTTGGATTGTGCACGCTCTGCTACAAAAATCAGCGCTAAAATTTCTGATAAGTTCGCAACCGGAAGTGACGTAAGCGTACAGCTGGCTCGATCTCGTGGGGTCTCGTTCGTCTGGGCATGACTGAATTAAGATAAGATTCTTCGTCCACAGTCAGACTCGAACACGGAGCCTTTAAACCAAAATGCCAATAAAAGAACAAGTGAGAACAAAGGAACATTTTTTGCCGACACGCGAAACGAAAACCCCACAATCTAGATATTTCGGAGCCCATTTCCTGTCGCTGTTTGTGTGAATTCCAGGCGGAAATGTTCAAACGCACGAACATGCAGAAAAATAAGCATGCACGCATCGAGTCTCGAACACTGACACCTGACCCAGGCCGTCTCCTCCGTTTTTCGTCAAATTTGGCGGAGGAGACATCGGACGTGTTGCTTAAGGGGCAAATATAAGGCGACAGCCTCACGCTCGGTTTCGGACAAAGCCAATTTCAAACGCTTGATTTTAGTTGAACAGAGTGAACACGGAATTTTATAGAGCTATGCGGAGGACCACCGTAACGTATAATCACAAACCTGTGAAATGTACACGCAGAAAAATGTTTGATTAAAGTGGGCGGGCATATTCACCTCCTACAGCGTTTAATTTGATCGTCATTTTGAACACAAAATCGCGTGAACGTTGTTCTTTTTTTTTTTACAATCAACTGATCGCCAATACAGAAAAACTGGCATTACCCAAGATTAGGCTCTCAGTTCAGTAAATAAGACGCTCAACTACGCACTTTATACATGAATAATCAAAGGGCAGATGGACGTGAGGCAGATTGGTCTGCTTTACGGTACGAATTTTCCTACAGACCGAAGAAAACCACGAAAAAGTATGAAAATCTAATCCACAAGAGTCAACTGCGACGTCCTGCCAATTTTAAAGAAATTTACTCAAGAATTCATTGCCACGTTCGTACGCTGAAGACGTCACACGTCCATGAAACAAAGAGGCGGGCGGTTTGACCGGAGAATGTGGCGGAATGCAGACTTTACCGGCGCACAATCCCGTTCACCTTGTCTGCATATGCACGACGTACGTGACATTTAGAGAGTGGCCTTACCACACGTCGGTCGTTTAGTTCTCAGATCACCGACAAACTTCCTGTTGCAATACATAGAAAGGTTCAACCATCGTCGCAGCAAAACCTCACTAACCGAACGACCCGGAAAGTTTCGTCCTCTCATCTAGCTATTCTGAGGTTTCCCGCTGCTAATAAAACTGCAGGAGAAATTGATAAATAAAATTCACTTCTTTGTTTACACAACGCATTAAACATTTGCTGAATAAAACCACTACTAGCTTCTCCGAAACACCTCGCAACGCACTCAACACGCAAGAGGTCAATACGCACTTCTATTATCCGCAACCGAAGTTCTTGTCGTAATTGTTGCTTGTCATGGGTCTTTGGGTTATTTGATGGCGCTGATTCAGCTGCATACCTTGAATCACCAGATTAAACAAAAATCACGCAGCCTCTCTCCAATTACGTACTTCAAAGTCTCAACGGAGAAAACGTGCGCTCGGCGAAGCAAGGTGATAAAGCTTAATTCAAGTTAACAGGTACATTGCAAAGGCAAGAGAGTTGTTGTTGTTGTGACGTTTATGAATCAGTTCTGAGGAACACGATTTGGCTACTACGTCCAACCACTGCAAAAACACGCTCCGCTGTTTTTGTTTTGTCCACAAAGAAATCCAATCCAGTCGACACACTCATCGAGGGTGTGGAAATGAACGCGTAATGCTTCTGACAAGGCTTTCTTTACTGCAGCGAACACTCCAACGCATATTTTAACATGAATGACATCATCGCACACAAAAAAGAATGAGCACAGAGTAACTGTGTAACAATAAAGAAGTCGATCTTTCAACTGGAAGGGAAATGCAGCACATCCGGTTGTGTGACCGATTGACCGTTCAGCTCAAGACACGTCTGATATGAAATTGAGGTCATGTCAGGTAACGGCGTGTAATGCGATCTCTTGTTGGGTGCGTTTTCGCCTGGACGCAAACTGTGGATCTCAACAGGTGTACGGAAAAAAAAACACCTGCAATTATAAACTACACGCTTGGAAGACAACATTCCAGTATTTTCAGTGTAATGTTGGCAGCGCATACATTTCACGTCACGAAAGTACCTTCACCAATATTAATTATATACACTACATCCAATTTCATCCCTAGAAAAATACTGTGATGCTTTCAAACATTACTGAAAACAATTAAGATCTTAATTACCAAGAGCAACAAAGATCGAACTCTTATCCCAGCAAATAGTACTTACATGTCAATTTGACTTGTCAATGCACAGAATCAATTCAAGCTGTATTAGTTGCAATACATACAGTTCCTCTGGCGTCACCAAACACTTTTATATATCGGTATAAAGTTAAAAAAACACTTGAAACTTGCACCAAATTACGTCGATTAAAAGAGTTTTCCGAAATACAATAGTCGACTGCACAACCATCTGCACGAGCCGACCGAATGCTTACGTGTCCGCTAGCAGAGATTCAGGAGTGAAGGCGCGAGACTGTTAGCTCCGCACACTGGCTGCGGTCCGAGAGATGTGGCAAGCGGGGAAAGGCTGCGAGCGAGTCTCGCACTCCACGATTACTGCCGATCATACACGAACCTAGGAAGGTCACTCACTCAGACGTCGGGAGTCAATGAACGCCCTGCCGACAGCTACGGCGGAGTGGTCCAGCAGTTGCAGACTCCCTCGTAAGCAATGATTTCGTAGCAATCGAGCTATATCCCATTTCTCTTCAGCTGCATGAACGCTACTTATTCGCTAAACGCTGTTTTATTTCAACAACACGATAGGGCTTCGCCAACGAGCATCTTGCCTACTGCGAATAAGGGCACCTTGTCCTTGGTTAAAGCGGGCGGAGTGTGAAGCTCACGCCCGTTCCTTGACATGTCTTTGCGGCGTGATTTTAACTTTACAAACCACAGTAAACTGTTCGCCTATGCTCTATGCACCGACAACATGAACATACGTAGCATCGAATAATAAATAATAAGGTTATAAAGTTATAGTGACCACGAAATCGCAAATGCGTGGACTGATGTGATATGTACTTGACTAATCTAAAACAAGCCCCACTAACCAGTCTTCAGATAATGAGGAACAGATCGAAACCATGAGAAAAAATCTGCAGGCTTAGATACGGACGTGCGGTCGCTTGTGTGCGTAAGTTATAATACGAGACGTGATATTACTCCGTAACAACTCCGGATGGCAATACAAGTCAATGGACTCCTTACGCTACGAAGCATTTATTGGAAAATTTACCATACCAATTGGCAGTGGCGCGAACAAAAGTCACTACGCCTACCACCGGAAGAGACTGTTGACTTTTCGTCTTGGACCAACACGCGAGCTCTGTGTCTGAATCCCTAATGTTAGCCTCCTATATATTGCCTTTCGAATTCTCCCCTACCAAAATTCTGCACGCATTTCTTGTCTGCCCGCCCAAACTACACGATTAGATTAGCATTACAGTATCACGTGACCAACACGAAGAACACAGTTCATAACAGCATAAAGTCATAATTTTTTTAAATTACTTTCTTCTGTACTAATTGATCCGCTGTTCCTGCGTTCCAGGAACAAGTCAAACAATCATAAAACAACGGACGGTGGCAAAATAATCGGTTTGTTTGTGTGGAGTTTTGGACATTAGGAGGAAAGATAACCTCTGAGCTGAACGTCATCCTCTTAATCACAAACATTCCAGGACGTTCTGAATCACTTTCAAATGATTTATTCCCAGTTTACCACGGAGGAGGATATTCATGTATTGCGCCGGACTAAACAATTTCTTGGAGAAATCGTCACAGAAATACGTCTAGCGGTGTGAGGTCCGGAGACCGCGGTGTCCAAAAGCCAAGCCCATCAATGACCGTCTGCACTGAAGCAGCTGTTGTGTTCACGGCGCGGGCCGTCGCCCCGTCATGCTGAAGGCACCGACCGCCTTCATCTTCTTGCAACTGGGGCGAAGGATCCCGATTCGGCTCCGCGTTGTCTCCTCTCACGAAACCCGAGAAACTCGTGAGATTCTGTTACCAGTCACTACGACTTTCCTGTCACGACGCGGACAGCGGCAAAGGACGAAGTGGATTAATAATGTTCGAGGACGGGCGCACGAAAAAATTCCGTCAGGCTAATCGGTATCCGAGGCGAGATTAGAACCCGGAACCTCCCGAATACGGAGGAGTGCTAACCAGTGAAGCAATCACAAGGTCTAGATGACAGAAACTTTTGATTCACTTTCAGAATCTGACGGGTGTCAATGCTTTCTTCGGGCTGGAAGCTGCGAAGAGAGTTCTGCGCTCGCTGCTTACCGTCAAAGTAGAAACTCTCTTGGAACGCTTCACATTACAAAAGATCGGCTCTCGAAAAAGGAAAATGGCTCCACTGCGCCTTCACTTACCTGGAAATAAACGAAATGCAATTGGCATCAAAATAAGTCAAGCTTCTACGCGCACTCTGGCCAATTGCGTCACTGCATGATCGTCTTCCCATACCACAAACCACATTTTTCGAGAGATTCAACACGACAAGTGCGCACGGGAGGATTCACTTTCTAGCGGCCTGTGAATTTAATGTCTTAGGATCACATCTGGCACAATAAAAAATGCAAACCTGCTGGAAATTATGGCAAAAATGAGTTCATTTTCCAGCCTCGAAGCTACGAAGGCAATCCAATGTAATGTCAGACAGCACTGAAACTTTTACATTCCAATAATAAGAAAATATATTGTAATAATTTAAACCCGCGTGTCACCAAATGCTACTAGGTCAGTATATAAAGGTCCGGGACTCGATCCCAACCATTGCAACTGTTATCTGGTCATTCTAACAACAGCTGGTAAATGTACGAATTACTGAGCTCCTCCAGAACACAGACGCAACACAAAAATAGCGCGCGTTGCGGACTATGGAGCAACTAACCTTGGGCCGGGGTTAAAGGAGAAGCCGCCAGCCAAGCGCCGACCTTAAGACTTTCAGACTACTTCATATTGACACGCAGGTGTTTGTTTGCAGTGTCAAATCAACTGATTAGATTCTTTACCGTCGAATGAATGAGCAACGACAGGATTTGGGTGGAAACAGAGATGAAATGAATTTCTTGGCATTTGACTGGGCAGACCGCCGCCTTACATAAAAGGAGAGCAATTTCATGACTACCCCCAGGGGCGGCGGAGCCCCGGGCCTGTTACACTACCGAGGCCCCTGACGACAAGAAAACACCTGAGGCATTTTAGGCGATTTCATTATTACAATTTTAACGATTTGAAAAGTGCCTCTCTAGAACTGACTTGCCTCATTCACCCGTTGTAAATCGAAACGCGGGAAGCCTCTGCCTTTACGACAAAGTCAAACACCGGCTGTCTGCCAAGGTTAGAAAACTAAATACAGAAAAGAAATAGTTTATAGCAACTTAAAGAGCACTTATCTGAAAGCAGTAAAGCACTGAAGGTGATTAATCTTTCTTTGATTTCTCTCGAACTGAGTGAATCCAAGATTTCAAAGGAGGCCAACGCTAAAGCGGGCGGTCTTCATCGACTTCGACGTCGAAAAGGCTTCATTCTCAGCAAAATAAAAACACCTCAGTCAGCAGTCGCTGAATAATTCATTTGAACACGCCCTTCGCTCACACCCGGAGGATTCGAGGATCAGTGGGGCACGGCACAGCCGTGGCACATTTTAAGCTTTCTGCCAGCAGAGAATGCGGGGGGAGGGGGCATAAATTAAAGAGCCCGTTTGGCGGCGCACGCGCAAAGCGGAACCCCGGCTACCACGAGTGCCACGGGTATCGAGCTGAGCGAGAGTTGAACGGGGTTTGCGGGGACGGACGCTGCACATCTGCAAGTCACGTGTAAGACTGTGATTCCCACAGCTTGAAGCCCAGCTGGAAACGGGGTCATAGCAAAAAGCACACTTGGCTTCGGCCGATAATTATTTTCAGCTTAATCCGGGCGTAAGGGATCAGACTGAGGTCCATGGATTCAACTGGCTCAAGACAGGATCCAGCGGGGGCCTTCGGCCTCCATAAGAGGGAGGGATTTCTTGACTACCGAACAGATTATTGACGAAACAAGAAGGCTTCTGGAGTTTGTTTTGTTTACGATCCGATGACTGGTCTTCAAGATTAGCCACCGTAGCGACACCCAGTCCACCCTGTAACTCGATCGGTACATACAACGCACTGACATCCCACGCTTCATGCGGGAAAGTCCTTCTTCAGTGCAAAGTAGCAAATTCGCAACGTTCAATACGATACGCGTTTTGAGTTTAGATAACTTCTCTCAGAACAACAACGTAAGATGTGAATTGGACTGAACTGGCTCAGGAGAGGACCAAATAACAATGGATCTTGAAGTTCCATAAACTGAGAATTATTTTATTGGAAGAATATCAATTGATCAAAGAAAATGCTATCATCAAGGCTTACAGCGTCCTTGGTTTGTGAAAGGAAGAGACGGCTGGACTAACAAACAAACAAACAAACAGCTCATCAAAGAAAAAAAAATCGCATGTTGAAAACGTGACACAGGGCCTCGAACTTGGACGAATTCTTCGGAACAACCTCTGGTCCAGGGGCGCGCTCTTAAAAACATGGTTCTAAACCATCAGGGTCCATAATGATGGGGAAATTCTTCGCCAGGTGATCGACTGTCAGCTTATCAAGAAGTATGGAGTTAGTAAACACAGTGCCATGGAGAGAGTTACGAGAAAGTGGCCTCCATTTTAGGAAGAATCTTCGAGTAGAGGCGCTGTACCACAACAGGGCTACCATGTTTCATGGGGGGGGGGGGCAGTCAGTGGTGCACATGCACGTAAACGTCGGTGCGGTCGTCTCATTCGCATGAGAACCAGAGGATCACAGCGAATTGTATAAACACGTGTCCAACACGTGGATGATCGTAAATAAACTGTATTTCGGCGTGGGTGGTGCAGGCTTCTTAGAGCCTGGAAATCTTCTTAGTACAATTAAAAACCTTCTTGTGACGTCAGCACAGTGTGTTACTCCACGACCGAAATCTTAAGCCATGGGGTCAACGAAATGATATTTTATGTCGGAACGCGGGCACAGCTTCTCACCACCATCAATTCACACGTCGCTTAACTAATCCGAATGAAGTTCTCGGACGCCGATTCCGCAGGCGACAAGCGAACAGAGTTCCACGCATTCTTTCACATCTGGCTTCCTTTTGGGCAGAAATGGCGACGGTAATTCAGCAGCGAAGGCAAAATGCGGCGGTCAGCTCCGGCGCCAAACTTCAAAATGAATGCAGGTAGCAGGCAAAGCCCCGTCACTTACAGTGCGTGCATTTCATGTACCTCCTCTCATGTTTTTGTTGAAGTGGAATGGAGTTTCCCCCCCCCCCCCCCAATAAGCGCTGTAACGTGATGAGAGATCATGACACTAGACTCCATTCGCGCCGAGCCCCGAGCAATCCACCTTCAGGGTACATGGCTGCTGTAAGAGTAT